CTCACTCATCTGGTGCCTTCGGGAGGTAGAGATGTTTGAGATATATATATCTCGAACTATCTACTTCTTTTGTAAGGTCTGATGGCGTAGTGGGTTAAAGCATACTAGTTATGCCAGCTACTGGAAGGTAGTTGTGCTTTCTGGGTTCGAGTCCCACTGGTGGGTGTTGTCCAAAGATTGTTTATCTTCACTTGTGGTTTATGCAAGTATAGGCTTATAAGCTGGACACGAGTTCTCTCACATTGACAGTGGCTTGACGAAAATTGCAGACTGACCCCTCACTCATCTGGTGCCTTCGGGAGGTAGAGATGTTTGAGATATATATATCTCGAACTATCTACTTCTTTTGTAAGGTCTGATGGCGTAGTGGGTTAAAGCATACTAGTTATGCCAGCTACTGGAAGGTAGTTGTGCTTTCTGGGTTCGAGTCCCACTGGTGGGTGTTGTCCAAAGATTGTTTATCTTCACTTGTGGTTTATGCAAGTATAGGCTTATAAGCTGGACACGAGTTCTCTCACATTGACAGTGGCTTGACGAAAATTGCAGACTGACCCCTCACTCATCTGGTGCCTTCGGGAGGTAGAGATGTTTGAGATATATATATCTCGAACTATCTACTTCTTTTGTAAGGTCTGATGGCGTAGTGGGTTAAAGCATACTAGTTATGCCAGCTACTGGAAGGTAGTTGTGCTTTCTGGGTTCGAGTCCCACTGGTGGGTGTTGTCCAAAGATTGTTTATCTTCACTTGTGGTTTATGCAAGTATAGGCTTATAAGCTGGACACGAGTTCTCTCACATTGACAGTGGCTTGACGAAAATTGCAGACTGACCCCTCACTCATCTGGTGCCTTCGGGAGGTAGAGATGTTTGAGATATATATATCTCGAACTATCTACTTCTTTTGTAAGGTCTGATGGCGTAGTGGGTTAAAGCATACTAGTTATGCCAGCTACTGGAAGGTAGTTGTGCTTTCTGGGTTCGAGTCCCACTGGTGGGTGTTGTCCAAAGATTGTTTATCTTCACTTGTGGTTTATGCAAGTATAGGCTTATAAGCTGGACACGAGTTCTCTCACATTGACAGTGGCTTGACGAAAATTGCAGACTGACCCCTCACTCATCTGGTGCCTTCGGGAGGTAGAGATGTTTGAGATATATATATCTCGAACTATCTACTTCTTTTGTAAGGTCTGATGGCGTAGTGGGTTAAAGCATACTAGTTATGCCAGCTACTGGAAGGTAGTTGTGCTTTCTGGGTTCGAGTCCCACTGGTGGGTGTTGTCCAAAGATTGTTTATCTTCACTTGTGGTTTATGCAAGTATAGGCTTATAAGCTGGACACGAGTTCTCTCACATTGACAGTGGCTTGACGAAAATTGCAGACTGACCCCTCACTCATCTGGTGCCTTCGGGAGGTAGAGATGTTTGAGATATATATATCTCGAACTATCTACTTCTTTTGTAAGGTCTGATGGCGTAGTGGGTTAAAGCATACTAGTTATGCCAGCTACTGGAAGGTAGTTGTGCTTTCTGGGTTCGAGTCCCACTGGTGGGTGTTGTCCAAAGATTGTTTATCTTCACTTGTGGTTTATGCAAGTATAGGCTTATAAGCTGGACACGAGTTCTCTCACATTGACAGTGGCTTGACGAAAATTGCAGACTGACCCCTCACTCATCTGGTGCCTTCGGGAGGTAGAGATGTTTGAGATATATATATCTCGAACTATCTACTTCTTTTGTAAGGTCTGATGGCGTAGTGGGTTAAAGCATACTAGTTATGCCAGCTACTGGAAGGTAGTTGTGCTTTCTGGGTTCGAGTCCCACTGGTGGGTGTTGTCCAAAGATTGTTTATCTTCACTTGTGGTTTATGCAAGTATAGGCTTATAAGCTGGACACGAGTTCTCTCACATTGACAGTGGCTTGACGAAAATTGCAGACTGACCCCTCACTCATCTGGTGCCTTCGGGAGGTAGAGATGTTTGAGATATATATATCTCGAACTATCTACTTCTTTTGTAAGGTCTGATGGCGTAGTGGGTTAAAGCATACTAGTTATGCCAGCTACTGGAAGGTAGTTGTGCTTTCTGGGTTCGAGTCCCACTGGTGGGTGTTGTCCAAAGATTGTTTATCTTCACTTGTGGTTTATGCAAGTATAGGCTTATAAGCTGGACACGAGTTCTCTCACATTGACAGTGGCTTGACGAAAATTGCAGACTGACCCCTCACTCATCTGGTGCCTTCGGGAGGTAGAGATGTTTGAGATATATATATCTCGAACTATCAACTTCTTTTGTAAGGTCTGATGGCGTAGTGGGTTAAAGCATACTAGTTATGCCAGCTACTGGAAGGTAGTTGTGCTTTCTGGGTTCGAGTCCCACTGGTGGGTGTTGTCCAAAGATTGTATATATATATATATATATATATATATATATATATATATATATATATATATATATATATATATATATATATATACATATATATATATATATATATATATATATATATATATATATATATATATATATATATATATATATGCAAACAAGCCTGAATGGTCCCCAGGACTATATACAACTGAAAACTCACACCCCAGAAGTGACTCGAACCCATACTCCCACAACTGGTATGTACAGGGACGCCTTAATCCGCTTGACCATCACGACCGGACATAAGGAAGTGATAGCCGAGGCTATATGAACCACTTCCCCGCCGGCACTCGGATGGTAATCTTGGGCATAGCATTATATCAAGCGGATTAAGGCGTCCCTGTACATACCAGTTGTGGGAGTATGGGTTCGAGTCACTTCTGGGGTGTGAGTTTTCAGTTGTATATAGTCCTGGGGACCATTCAGGCTTGTTTGCATTTGTGTTCCTCACGTGTGCCCCAAAGAATGAGGTGATTTGATAAAATGCTATGCCCAAGATTACCATCCGAGTGCCGGCGGGGAAGTGGTTCATATAGCCTCGGCTATCACTTCCTTATGTCCGGTCGTGATGGTCAAGCGGATTAAGGCGTCCCTGTACATACCAGTTGTGGGAGTATGGGTTCGAGTCACTTCTGGGGTGTGAGTTTTCAGTTGTATATAGTCCTGGGGACCATTCAGGCTTGTTTGCATTTGTGTTCCTCACGTGTGCCCCAAAGAATGAGGTGATTTGATAAAATGCTATGCCCAAGATTACCATCCGAGTGCCGGCGGGGAAGTGGTTCATATAGCCTCGGCTATCACTTCCTTATGTCCGGTCGTGATGGTCAAGCGGATTAAGGCGTCCCTGTACATACCAGTTGTGGGAGTATGGGTTCGAGTCACTTCTGGGGTGTGAGTTTTCAGTTGTATATAGTCCTGGGGACCATTCAGGCTTGTTTGCATTTGTGTTCCTCACGTGTGCCCCAAAGAATGAGGTGATTTGATAAAATGCTATGCCCAAGATTACCATCCGAGTGCCGGCGGGGAAGTGGTTCATATAGCCTCGGCTATCACTTCCTTATGTCCGGTCGTGATGGTCAAGCGGATTAAGGCGTCCCTGTACATACCAGTTGTGGGAGTATGGGTTCGAGTCACTTCTGGGGTGTGAGTTTTCAGTTATATATATATATATATACATATATATATATATATATATATATATATATATATATATATATATATATATTACTTAACCTATACCGTTGATAGGTTAAGTAATAATTGCATATAAGAATCAAAAAGATGCTTATCTTAACATACTAAGAAGGTTAGGTGAGGTGTGAGGTCGGTGTTTTCTATGAAGCTTTTCACGGTAAACTAAAAAATTCACAATCAATTAGTATTTCACATATGCACTTATTGAATAAGCCAATGTTGACTATAAGCAAGTGCGAGAACAGGTTGCATAGTAATTACAATCTTGTAAAGTCACTAGTATGCCCAGCGTTTCGGGCAGACATTAATATAGACAACTGCAGCAGCATAATGTAATAGAAAGTTGTATTACAGGATACTTAGTATATTATAGGTATGATCAAGCGTATCTATTTGGAATCTGTTATGCTGATGCCATAACAGATATGAAATTGAAATTGAGGGGCAGAGCAAAACTGAACATAATTATTTACTACCAGACAAAATGGATTGCTGAATTAACTCACAAGAACAGCCTCAGAAAAAATACAGCTGTCTTGCTATGAAAAAAAGCAAACTTGCTATGCCAATTTGCATGCTCCTGTGCAGGATGTCACCTTTGATCTTCCTATATTGGTATGACCATCACAAATCTTTAAAGAAGACTGACTTGCCATCTATAAGCTGGTGCCCTTCTTTACCATTTATTTGTTCATCATTTTATCGTATCACTTAAAACATCACTTGAAAACTGATGATGATTTAGAGATACACCATTTCAAAATACTTAAAATATTTGTTAAAAAAATCAATGCGTATAAATATACAAAAAAACAAATAAGTTAATTTAAAAAATAAGACCAAAAAAGTCTTTATGATAATTTGAAGTGTCTAGAAAAGTGAAGTAATAAGAAACAATTTCATTAAAGAACAACAATATAATATATAATAAAAAATTAGAAATGTGCCCAATCATTTCATTCCTGCCTTGGATTTAATGCACAATTCCCGATTGTGAGTCGAGAATGACCCCGAATATCAATAGAAATTTTAAATTTTGTTTTACTCGAAAAAAGTCAGTGCATTTGTTCACGTGGGTGCGGTTGAGTTTGTTCACGTGGGTTGGTTGACATTTTTTCCAATTTACTCCAATATTTGTTACATGGTGGAACCTGACATTTAATATCATAAATATTCAATGTGTTATGTTTTGACCAAAAATTAAGTATGAACTAAAACTGATTAACTCCTACTGACTAGTCAGTCATATATATGCTATATTTTTATTTGTCTGTCGCTTTAGCTTTGAAAATAATTGTTATTATAAATTACAGAGATGATGTTACTGATTTATCATTGTATGTATAGGGTTTTTAAATATAATTCTATTTGACAATATACAGGTTGGTGGAGATGTCTGGACTGTGGCGGCTGCCGGAGACGGTGGTGATAGCCATAGGTGGGAGGGCGGGGGTGAGGGCCGTGCTCCTCCACCACAGTCTCCGCAACACTGTCCACGCCCTCTACCTCGCCCTCCACCACGACCTCTACCTCGCCCTCAACCACGACCTCTACCTCGCCCTCAACCACGCCTCTCTTCACACCCTTCCACCAAATCTTCACTCACTCCTTGGGAAGCTGTTTACCCACGATGGTCAGGTCAAGCAAGTGTCTTAAGTCATCCTTAGACCTTGAAAATATTCTTTTTCATTATTATAACCTATTTGTTATACAATGAGAGATGTGCTTGTGGTATTTTGTTTCTCTATACATTAAAGCACAAATAACTTAAAAGGGCCTCAAACGTATCTTTTGTTGTTCTTATTTTTCAGAACAATTCTAATTTTTTCAAATATCATTAATAATTGCATATGAATATCAACATTTTTATATAAACAAAAAAAAAATGCTTTCAATTTTGCCTCAAAAAATGCCTCACTGCTCACGTATGTCTGCTAGCTTGAAGCTTGCAGGACCAAAGGGTTTGGTAAGCAGGGAAATGAAGAACTTGAGGACAAAGATGAAATCTCAGGAAACAGGAAGAGGACGGCGTCGAGAGGGGAGAACGTTATGTGGACTATCCACTGTGGATTTAAGTTGTCGCTTCACTTGGTAGTCGATATTGTAGTTACAATTCTCTATACATCAATAGGCTGCCTAGCGGCTTGGGAGGCTTGAGGGCGGATAGGAGGGCTGAGTCTTGATGGGGTTGGGTTAATGATGGTGCTGTCTCGGAGGGAATATGGTGGTGGATGCCAGGTGTTGTAGGCTGTGTCTTTACAGGGTGGTTATTCTTGGGCCTTCTTCATTCCTCTGTCTTCTTTCTTCTTACTGATGGTTTGACTGGTTCTTCTTGTTTGATTCGTCTGTCTTACCAGCCTTCTGGTAGATCTTGCTTCTCGTTGAATAGGTAGAACTGGCGTTCGAGGATTCATCAGTTAAGAAGTCCTTTGGGTAGTTTCGTTGAGGAGAGCATGAAGTCCTAACAGAGATGTCGTCATCTGTTGAGTCAGCTGAAGCAAAGTTGTTTGCAGGTTGGAAAGGACTTGGGTACTTGACATAACATTCTCGGTCGATAAGTGCTGAGTGGACTTCACAAAATAGGTTCGGTACAGCGACTCTGCTTTTATGTAATATCTCACTGGCCTTTCTGATTGGCCCCTACTTAGTTCTTTCTGGTGTTGGTTATTTAAGCTGCTGATACAACATTCGCAGATGTTACGACGTGCAGGGGGTGAATAAAGGTGTTGAAAGGCCTCAACGGCATTGAAAGTTGCTTTATTGTCCATGGAGAGAATTACCGGAGGTGAACTCAATTTCGGAATTGTTACAGGAGCGGTAGGTGAAGTTTAAACAGTTGTAGTGTCCGTGGCAAGTGCCACAGTGGGCTCGATGGTAGAGGGTTGAGTGGGTGTGCTCTCAGGTAATGGAGTGTCGGTGGTGGGAGGTTCTGGTGGCTCAATGTTAGATTGTTCAGCTGTAGCATCCGTGGTCAGGCGATCAGCACATCCCGCTCTCGCACAAGACAGCACATATATGACTTAATGCTTAAAGTCAATATGTTGAATATGAATTAGTACATATGTGGCATATTCCCAGTTACCTTTTTTCCAAGGCCCAAACTCTTCCTCACGTACTAATTTACGTCTCACAGTACCCGGCCATCAACGTAGACAGCAGAATAGTCGTGATTGGTTCAATTATAATGAAAATTGTAGTTTTCAGGTCCCACATGGGTTGTGAAATTTACCTGCTATTGTCCATGCTCTTAGAATATTACAGATCAGCTACACCCTATTGAAGGCTCGTAGTTTTGTTTTGAGGAATATTAGTTGTTCTTAGTAAATTATAATAAGCACTATAAATTATTACATGGAATAATAGTGCTTCACCAATTAATATTATATACACTAGTTTGTGCTTTAAAAACCTTTAAAGAATGTGAAAAAATCGCGGAATTCAGAGTTAACACCATCAATGGTGCGCAAGAAATTTGTAAGTACTTCATTCATAATGATTTGCTGCCCGAAATCTTAGCGAAGTATCCAAAATTTGCTTACTGTAGGTAATGCATGCACATGACTCTAAAGCTGCCGCCCAGTTGGGTGGGTGTGGAGCACATGACTATAAAGCTGGAGCCCAGTCGGGTGGGTGTGGAGCACATGACTGTAAAGCTGCCGCCCAGTCGGGTGGGTGTGGAGCACATGACTGTAAAGCTGCCGCCCAGTTGGGTGGGTTTGGAGCACATGACTGTAAAGCTGCCGCCCAGTTGGGTGGGTTTGGAGCACATGACTGTAAAGCTGTCGCCCAGTTGGGTGGGTTTGGAGCACATGACTGTAAAGCTGCCGCCCAGTTGGGTGGGTGTGGAACATGACTGTAAAGCTGCCGCCCAGTTGGGTGGGTTTGGAGCACATGACTGTTGTCGTGACGCTGAGCCCCGGTTCATTCCGAACACAGCGATTACACAACACATAACACCTTGCCTCAGCAACCGTTACTACCACCGTGTACTCCTACACACACCAGACCCTTGAGGCGTACCACTAGGTTTGTACTGGAACACAATGAATGAACATATGGAAGGTATTTAAAGGCCGTCGGGTTTTGTCATTTAATTACAAAGAATAGACTCTGACAAATAATAACATATTAACATACTCTATTAGGTCAATACACTTCCAATACCCATAGACTACTTGACCTCCACGATCACCACCCACACTCGTAACTTCAGCCTAAGTCCCTAATACGGAATGATTACTACAACGCTCCACACCCGGTTAGTCTTTCATTCAATACTCACATACTGCAGACTTAACTTGGTCACTAAGATCACATCAGGTTCTCGCATAGCTGTCTGCTACACTTCGCTGATGCCACAAACGGAGATCCAGAGGACTTCTCAGTTCAACTCCCACAATCAGACTGTCTTTAGCCAACCCTGGCCTCAAACATTTCACCACGCCTCTCAAGGAAGGTATAATCCGATTAACCTTATCCCTAGAGCGGTAACCTTGATCCTAGAAGCCTGACGAAGAATAATTCCTCTTTCCAGGAATTATTAATTTGGCTAAACAGCTTCGGTCTTAATCCATTGACCTTTCTTAGATATGATCCATAGTCTGTCTACTTAACATGTACTTCCAATCATCATTCGTTAAGTGTTGTAGTAATGATCCTCTAGCTAATAATTCCTACTAACTTGTGGATTACAACACTGTAAAGCTGCCTCCCAGTTGGGTGGGTTTGGAGCACATGACTGTAAAGCTGTCGCCCAGTTGGGTGGGTGTGGAACATGACTGTAAAGCTGCCGCCCAGTTGGGTGGGGTGTGGAGCACATGACTGTAAAGCTGCCGCCCAGTTGGGTGGGTTTGAAGCACATGACTGTAAAGCTTCCGCCCAGTTGGTTTGGGTGTGCAGCACATGACTCTAAAACTTCCGCCCATTTGGGTGGGTGTGCAGCAAGACTAGTAATTGTGTGACTCACCATAGATGTAAAGTGCCTTGTATAGTGACTCTTGTGAGCCTCTTGTTAAATCACTTGTGATGTAAAAGATTATTGATGTGTGTATTTGTGTAGGTGATTGAATATGAATGTGTATATATGTATATTTATATATATGTACATGTATGTATGAGTATGTGAACATGTACATATAACATTAATACTTGTGTGACTAGCGTCAAAAGATTGTTATTTGCTTAGCTAAACGAACTAGAGGGTTCAGTTCCTGAACCGATTATGTGCCTCTGTAATCCTTTACACCACCGCCCACGGGATGTGTATGGGGTGCATAATAAAGAAAAAAATTGAATTGTAACTTACCTTATCTCCTAAGTGTCAACATATGTCAGTTCAGTTCATACTATTGATCTCAGTTAGTCTTAAATCTTAGTTTTTAAGTTTTTTTCCAGATCTTGCCCAAAACGCTGTGCGCATTAGTGCTTTAGGCATAGTATATACTTGTTCCTTCTTGAAATTCAACATTCTACTTGTAACTCCCAACCATTCCCAACACCACCGCCACTCCCAACATCAACACCCCGTGGGAAGTAGTGGAATTTATATCTATCCTTGAGCAGTAGTTGTCCCCATACCCAGCCCCTGAGTGATAGTGCACCCCATACCCCAGCCCGTTAATGATAGTGGACCCCATACCCATCCTGTGGAAGGGAGTGGACCCCATACCCATCTAGTTGGTAGTAGTGGACCCCATACCCACCAAGTGGGTGGTAGTGGACCCCATACCCATCTTGTGGGTGGTAGTGGCCCCCCATACCCATATAGTGGGTGGTAGTGGACCCCATACTTATCCTTTGGGTGGTAGTGGAAACTCATACCCATCCTGTGGGCGGTAGTGCACCCCATACCAATCTTTTGGTCGGTACTGGACCCCATGCCCCTCCTGTGGGTGGTATAGTGACCCCATACCCATACTGTGGGTAGTAGTGGCCCCCCTCATACCCACCCTGTGGGCGGGAGTGGACCCCATACCCACCCTGTGAATGGACGTGGCCCCCATACCCACCCTGTGGGTGGACGTGGGCTCCCATACCCACCCTGTGGGTAGACGTGGCCCCAATATCCACCCTGTGGGTGGACGGGGGCCCCCATACCCACCCTGTGGGCGGTTTTGGATTCCATACGTATCCTGTGAGCGGTAGTGGACCCTCATATCCATCCTGTGGGTAGTAGTGACCCCATAGCCATCCTGTAGGCAGCAGTGGACCCCACAGCAATCTTGTGGGCGGTTGTGGACCCCATACGTATCATGTGGGCGGTAGTGGACCCCATAGCAATCCTGTGGGTGATAGTGGACCCCATACCTATCCTGTGGGCGGTAGTGGAACCCATACGTATCCTGTGGGCGGTAGTGGACCCCATACCCTTCCTGTGGGTGATAGTGGACACCATACCCATCCTGTGGGTGATAGTGGACCCCATACCTATCCTGTGGGCGGTAGTGGAACCCATATCTATCCTGTGGTCGGTAATGGATCGAATACCCACCCTTTGGGCGGTAGTGGACCCCATACGCGTCCTATGGGTGGTAGTTGAGCTCACCTATGGGTGAGCGCTATTGTCATTTGAAACATTTTGAATTTTGAATTTTGTATCCTGGCTGGAGAGGATTTACTGGGCGCAGATCCTTTACTGTAACCTCTGTTTAACTTAA